CAAACAACCATGGAATAGGTTAAAACACAGAAGAAAGAACAAATAATGATTAGCAAACATGCTTCAGCAGATCCCAAAATTGTAAGTGCCATAACCTTTTTTACTGCAAAACAATCATTTTCACATAGTTAGCCACAGTAGTAAATACATTCAGTATATTTCACAATAAACTTTAATTGATGAATACGCCACTAGACTTCTAAGCACGGTAGAATTAAAAAGTGGTGAGTTTCTAAGAAGTAGGAGACTTCTTTCAGAACAATTTGCCAATTCTCACATTTTATAGCAAACAGCTTAATGCTTTTGAAAATAAAGATGAATATAAATGTAAAACCACAGGAGGTCTCTATTTAATTGCTCTCTATAGTTTCTGAACTATATTATGGCATGTATTAAGCGTACTCTTTAAAATAAACTCTTGCTTTCCTCAATGGTCTTACCTCAGTATACTTCAGAACATGGGCTGCAGAAGGAACATAGCTTTCATGAAAAGACATAGTTCCTAGGCAATACAGAGCAGAGAGATATTACAGAGATGTAATTTACATTCCCCTTGGAGAACTGCATCTAAATACCTCTTAGTAGTAAATCTCTGGTATTCACTGTGATGTGTATGGAGAATGGGTTACCCCATGCTTAAACCTTTCTGGACCAGCCTTCATTTTCAGGTTCCAAATACCTTTTGAGTAGTTACCCTAACCGCAACTTCCCAGCAACACTGGGGTAACATTTCTAGGGACATGTATCAAAGTTAAATTACCAAAAGGTGGAATGAGTATGGTTCTGAGCAAACCTCTAACGGTATACATGACCACAATGCTACAACCATTGATGCTGCTGTCTCCAGATCCAGAGAGGTCTCCTCACCCAGATGTGGCCTAGGAATAGGTTTTGCCCTTGACTGATCTTGCTTTTACATTGACAGGAAAACAAACAAACAAAACCTGTTCTGAAGTTGGAATCTGGCTTTTAATGCCTCATACAAAACAATCTATGTGTAAAAATTTATTCAGAAGGGACAAGCAAGTCAATATTGAAATCAACATAGGGACAAGTTTTCTGCCTAAGCAGACATTTTCTGCCTAAGGACAGAAACACAAGATGTTTTCTGCCTAAGCAGATGTTTTGTCATTAGAATATCCCATGGCTTTTAAAAACTGAGTTGAAATGGATTACTGTTCATCTTACAGTACTTTTAGTAACTGTGTTCAAATGCTCTAGCAACTCTTGAATAAAGAGATCCGAGAAAAACAAGGTATTATTTTTTCCATAAAGAACATAATTAAAACATGAAATTCACAGCCACAAGGGATTGTGGAGGCTGAAAGAAACCACGAGTTCAAAAATGGAGAAATTCCTAGAGAAAAATGGGGCCACCTTATCTGTTCTTTGTTTTACACCATCTGTTGGTGGCTGCTCTGGAAGGCATGATACAGGGCTAGAAACATCTTTGGTTCTGATCCACACTGATAGTTCTTAGGACAATGTACATCATTAGCAGGATATTGTCATACATATTTATTAACTGCAAAATGTACTTTACATACTTGCATCTTATTCATAAATACAGATTTTGTCAAGGAAATTCAGTATGATACATTAAATCTGTAAAACTATGGTGTAAAAAGAGTTACATTTTCACTTAAGCATATATATCCTACTATAATTTTACCATCACAACTGTCAGGAAAAGAAAGGTACAAAAAAATAATTCAACTAAACAGATATACACAAACTTTATTTAAGAAACAAACAAAAGCTGTTTTCCATTTAAATCTAGTGAAACTCCCTTAACTTACCTTATTGGATCAACCATCAAAATTATACAAAGCTTCTAAAGTCTGTAAACTTTCTGGTTATAGCGCAGACATATGCATCCACAGATTATTAGAATTATGCTGGGATAATTCAAGGAGGCTTACAGTAGGTTACATGATATAATGGCAATGGTTAAACAAACACCTAATACACCAGACTGCTGCAATCTTAAAGCAGGAAACTGAGGAGTTGACCAAGCCAGAAAACAGCTCTCAAAGGCTTATTGCAAGTACTTTTCACCTCCTTCAGGATTACATCTTTAAATATGAGCAGTATGAACACCAAATGCTCAGTCCTGCTCCTAGGTAAGTGCACAAGTGTAACTGCTCTTAAAATCTGGATGGTCTGTGGTGCACACCTCATTTACCCAAACTGTCAGTCTCTATGCCAGCACAGTTTCAGCAACTGAGGCACAGTTATGTCCCACACAGTAGGGCACAGAGATGTAATTAATGTTAAAGTGCTGCATTTTTGCATGATATGTGTGTACTCAGTAACATATTGTCCAGTTTTGCATTCATATCCCCTCATTATAGGATACTTGAATTCACAGGTGTGTGCATATATACACTCTACTCCCACTTAAAAGTACTAGAGACTACTCAGATGTACTTACTAGGAAAGAACCCCTGTTATGGGAGTGAATAGCTCAGATTCTAGTAAAACACTTGGCCAAAATACATTATCGTAGCAAGTACACAGAAATCCCTGAGTACTTAAGTATATAGCAAGATAAACTCAAGTTTAACAGTGAGTAAATGTCCTGGCTTTCCTTGCTCATCCTCGGTTTCTGAAGTAATGGTAAAAAGTACTGGCCTTTACAAGAATACAATATTATAACATATATTGTACTGTAAACCTGAAAGCCAATACTTAGAAACATCGAGCATGGGGTGCTTCTGGTTGCTCAGGCCATGCTTCTGTAATGAAATGCACACAGTGCCCCCCATTTATCAATGTGATGCTACACTGTATGACTGCCCTCCAATGAAACCTTCTTTTAATCACTTGCAGCATCACAAGAAACAACTCTACGAAAAGAATTATAAACCACTGCATCTAACATAGAGCAAATTTGCTAGTTAAGAGCTGAACTGTCCCACGGGAATGATTCTGTTGATAAAGCTACCAAAGATTACAGAGTGCAGGAGTCCACCTGATACGAAAAACCTCACTTAGCTAATGCCCATAGTTCTTCGTAGGCAACTGGTATGTCACTACTTTTCTGACTTCTGTGAAAACTGATAGAAATAGACTAAGTTGTGGATTAAAAAAAAAATATCTTAAAAATTGCAGTTAATAAGGATATGAGTCCCAAAGTTCCCGACTGAATTTTCAGATATGCTAGGCCCTTAATGCAGACAACCCTGCCAGATTAAAAGCACATTAAGTACTTAATTATGAGCGGAGAACCAGCAAGCATGTATAGGGGAAAGCTGTGTCACAGTAACAGAATATCGTACTGCAGAGAAATCATTTGGATGCACATCCCAAGAGCTTCCTGGGTTAAAAATAGAGCAAGATTTCATTTTTTTTGTCTGTGTGTATGACAAAAAGACAAAAGATCTCCTGAGGTCATCGATGTTCCATCAAATTGCAGTATAAATATAATTACATTCCCAACATCCTTTCTGTCACTTGAACACTACATTTTGAAGCGTTTAATATTAACATCCATCAATGGAAGGCTCTGTTCCTTATAGTTATATTCCTAATACACATTTTCCCTATGCCATTAAAGAAATAACTAAAAAAACTGCTATCAAGTTAGCATGGTTAGGCACTCAAGAGTCACAGGCAGAATATAAAGCTGTCCTACCTGTGCATACAAGTCAGGACAGAGTCCTTAACTACATGGACCAATTTTATCTTAGCATTTCCTGAGCCCTTCTGCTCTGAAGGTCAGAGGAAACATGAACAAGGGGATCCTAGTTTAAGCTCAACGGTATTGTGAAAGGCTTCTAAGCACTGTTTCAGATTTCAAGGGAGGAATTCTTTGGAGCATTTCTACTCAGCCAGACTTAGTATCTCCTTGAGCAATTTGAGTTACCCTTAAAAAAAATCCACACACATACTTTCCCTTCCTTACAAGTCAGCCCAGGAGAAGGAGGGATACATCTTCCTTCTTCCCTGCCTCTTTAGGATGGGACAAAGCCTAATCTTTGTCCATGGGTACCAAGATCTCTAACTACCATGCTACTTAATCCCAAGAAAGAATTCTACCTGTGGAAAGCAATAGAGGATGCACTGCCATGATGGGAATTAGCAAAACAGAAAAATAAAGATGTTTCGACTATGCTCTGAAACTCCTGAACACTTTGTCATTTTGAGTTATAAGACTTGAATAAAGTCCTGTACCACTCTGACACTCAAACTGTAGTCAGCGACTTGCCTCATGACATTTCATCAAAAATACATTAAAGGCAGTGGATAATATATACACTTTTAAATAGAAAATACATACAGAACTTTTAGACTATTTTAGGACTGTAGAAAGTGTAAGTTCTACCTGCATTATTTTTTAATTCATATTCTACAGAAGTTGCTGGGTACTATCTTGTTTGACTGGCATGAAGTAAGACAAGGCTACTCAGGGACAGCAGACAGTCCTTCAGTGAAGAAAGTTGGGAAAGATCTTAATTGCAAAATTCCTACAGGCTGGGCTCCAGCTGAGCATGCAGACTAGCCTGCCTCAATCAGCTGATGATCAAACTAACATTAAATTGTGAAAGACCTCAAATTGAAAGCAAAGAGAGGAAACAGCTGGAAGGAAGCATCAGGGCTGTCTGTATTTCTCCCCCAGAGCAGCAACAAGATTTCAGCGTTGTGCAGACCCGACCTAAAACTGGCCAAGAAACATCCAAGTTCATGTAAGACCCAGCTGGACAGGCCTGGGGACATTTTCTCTGATGGCTTTGATGATTAAGCAGAGAAGTTTTGTGGTGAGAAGACTGCTTTTCATCTGTCCAGAGGCTTTCCAGGTGCTGAACCCAGCTGGGGGAGTTGTTTTATTACAGCTGATCAACAGAAGGCCTTCACACTGAGACCAAATCTGAGTGATGAAAGAAACACCCCTCTCCTCCAAATTAGTAGTACTAACACATGAGTCAAGAGAGAACTTCACACAGACTAAAAGAAGTCTAAAGTGCAACTTCCCTTGTACCCAGAAGCTGCAGATACAGTTTCATTGTAAGTTAAACTTTTCTTCAATGTACAGTGATACCCAGCTGCATAGGACATTTTGATACCTGTTGTGTCTCCAACAAGGATGCTGATCTAAGGTAAAAGATGTTGTGCAAATACTGCTGTTAAACATGAACATAATACCTAAAAAATATCCACTATGGAAAAACCTGTGCTCTTGAAATCATTTCGAGTCATTTCATAAAAGGAAATCAATACTTAAAGCATATTAAAAGAAACTTTAAAGTTCTGATGTTCCAAGGCTTTCTAGTAAGTTACACCTTTTTTGCTTTTAAACACTGGATGGATTCAATGGCAAAAAAAATAGATAAGCTTTTCTATGCAAGCTGTCTGGAAAAGATAATTTCTTAGATTTGAATATACACAATTGTTTTTAAGAGCCACATCTGGTTGACTGCTTATAAAGTGAGCTTGAAAAAAATAAAATTCATTAACCTAACAGAAGCCTAATCTGATGCATTTGCAACAAGCACAGTCTCATGAACATTTCATACAACACTGGATGGGAATTTCACCCAAAATAAAGGAGCAAGGAATAATTTGCTCATTCAATATGAAACATAATGATTTTTAACCTCAGACTCATTATTTGAGCTCATCCTTGATTTTTGTGGTGGTCCCCCCTGTAAGTGTATCCTTATCAAGGTTATCTTGTAGGTCTGCTGATGTGTTATTTGAGGAATTCTCAGTGTCACATAAATCTTTCTCATTAGTGCCTGGGTGATTTCCACACTCACTGTTCAGACTTTCATCATCTATTTTGGAATGAGAAGTGTCCTCCTTTCTGTCTGAAGCATCATGAATGTCTTCTGATTTTGAAAGCTGACCACTATCAGTATCACTGTTCTTTTCACTGTTGTTCTGCCTAACAGCATCACAGTTCATTTCTTGTTCATCCTGGTCATTTTCTTCCTCATTTTTTGTGAGTTCTACCTTTCTTTCTTCAGTTGTTTTACCAGCTGAGCTTCCACTTGCCAATGTATTCTTAGGCTCTTTTGGTTTCTTATGCTTAGAAATACAATTATTGTGAATAGAAATTGGAGATGCTGGCTTCTTATTCATTTTGCTTCCCTCCAACTTCTGTTTTCTTGGGGGTCCCCAGATAAAATGCTCCGAGGGTGTATAATGTTGCTGAGCAAACCTCAGGAGTTTCCTCCTTTCTCTTCGGTCTCTAATAGTATAAACAAAATATTCTAGAGCACTTTGCTTAATGTTGGGAATAGTATCTTCCACAAGAGCTTCATGGAGAATAAATTTTACCAGGGGAGATTTAAAACTCTCATATCCAAGCTCTCCAAGACTTTTCAGAATTCGAGTGATTCTCAAGTAGTTGTGTTGAGACCTTTGGAAGAAAAGGGTGAAAAAATCCCATTGAATCAGGGGAAAAAAGAAAAACTAACCCACCTTACAGATACAGAGCTGGAATAGCAATTCCTCAGTCTTTTTTATCCCTCCAGGTGTGTACTTCAGGCTTCCTGTACTTTAATTTCTCACAGCTGCTGAAGCTTGCTAGCACCTCCTTTGCTAGGACATTGTGAGTGAAAATTAGTATCTACACAGTGCAATGAGGAAACAGGCAAAAAAACCCCCATAAAATCAAAGTCTGTACTGATTTTGATTCTTTATTCTATATGTACTCTTTCTAAGGAGAAACCCAGTCATTTTATATAATAAGAGTTTTGGAGTGTATTGCAGTAATACAGCTACGGAATAGGATTCATTGCACTTCATTTAAGCTATCTGAAAGCTGGGTCTTCAACCTAGAGTAGCTACCTGCACTTCTCATACAGTCAGTGCTGGAAGAAAACCAGGCACCTCTGGAGAGCAAGTCCCACTGTTGTAAGAAATGTCTAAGACAAATGGAATGAACTATATTCTGGAGGTTCTTGTGAAGGGATCTTTCTCCCATAATGTACACATAAGTAAACAGTAAAACTTGAACGTGTACGTTTCAGATGGCTAAAATTAGGTAAAAAACATCCCAATTCACAACTTAAAGCTGTGCAGCTAGTCACTGATGAGAATACAGGAATTACACTGTAAAAATGTGCAGCGAGTAACATTTGGGCTTCCCCAAACCTTTCTTCATCTGTGGTCTGAGTCTGAGCCCACACCCATATTGGCTCATATAATATTTAAGTAAAATTAATAAAAAAACTTATTCCTACTATTCACCCAAAATTATTGATCAGCAATACAAGCTTTGGGAGAAGAAAATACTGCAACAAAGCAATCTCCAGCTCTAAGGTCAGAAGTATTAGGAAAGAGATCACAAGATTTGAAGAGAGATTTTGATACAATTAATCAGCATGAGACAAAATTCAGTGCAAACTTATGCTCCACACAATGCTGATGAAAAGCGACAGAAGTAATTTGATGAAAGTTGGGTTGAAGTTTGACTTAATGCATATCTAAACCTCTCCAGTTAAGCACTGCAACTAAAAAGTACTAAACACATAGTATTTCATGTTTTGAGGAGGGAAGGAAATCTTGGTATTTAGTTTCCATAAAGGTGTGGAAAATTTTAACCTTCTCAAAAAGAAATGTGAATACAAAGATAAGCCACTTGTTCTTTCCAATTGTGAAGCAGCATTTTGGAATCAGGTGAAAATTCATTTGGTAGTGTGACAAACAAATTAATTTGTAACTGTGATCTTCTTCAGCAGCACCTAAACTTGTATTTTCAGATAATTCCATATATTGGTTAGATTGGTAATGGGCAAGAGGCACGATTAAAAAAAAAGAAAAAAAAATAGAAAAGAGGGAAGGAGAAACATACATACAGACACAAACCAGGCATTGCCTATTTCTTTTTCTGTTTTTCCTGGGAATCTTTGGAAAATATATCTTCCCTTTGTCTACGAAAGAAAAGGGTAAAGAGATTCTGTGGCAGTTCTAGAGGGGAGTGCATGCCATTACTTACTCATTCAAATGCTGAAATCTTTCTTGCCAGTTAGCAGCTCGTGCTACGTTTCCAGTTTTATCAATTAGCTTTATACCAAAAAATTCCAACATCATTTTGTAAGCCAAAAGGAATCTTCTAATTGCTTCTTTCGTTTTCTTGAATTCCTAATAAACAAAGAATAAGTCCAAAATTTTAACTGGCACTAAAGCAAGTACTTCTACGTTGTATAAAACAACTCTACATAACAAAAAGCAGGTATGTATCAAAATTAATGTGATGGTTTGTATGGAGCTCAATTTGTATTACCTCAATTTCATATGTAGTTAATTCCTTAGCATAGAAGTTCAGACCTTGTTCCCTCAGTGGGAAAAGCCTGTTAAAAGAAAAAGCACATTATACAGCTCATGCTACATGAACACTTACTCAAATTAATGCTTTGAAACAGAAATAGGTAATAAATGACAAACCACTGTATGTAAGTGTGGTTATGTTCCAATTTTTCATAGTCTCCTTTCCACTTATTTAGGACTTCTTCAATATAAACCCCTGCATAAAAACAATTTGAAAACTGTTAAGCAGCCATCAAAACCAGTATTCAGCTACATAAAGTACATGCTGTGTTAACATAATGATACAATACACACTTTAATTCTCTTTCGCATACTACTTTTTCACATACTCACTCGGTCTATTACAGCCATTAAAAAAATAATAAAAATTATTTTAGTTACTAAAACTTAATTAAAAGTGAGAGATTCATCAAATTTCAAGACAAAAAAACCTTATGCTAACTTACCTGCCAGCAGAGGGTACGTAACAATAACCTCTGTAAATTATACTTCTCATGTCCTAGATCCCTTTATCAGACCTAACAATAATTGACAAACCATTACTCCATTGTGAATCAACATCACTGCTTTAACATGACAAAACTCTGCATATATAATACATATTTCTCCTCCTAGTAGGACAAAGCCTCAACTCTTCAAGAAGTCTCCCATTCCAGACATCTCTCCATCTGCAAATAACATGATTGGTAAATCTTTCCGAATTAGCTGTGGCCAAGAATCTTGCTGCCATGACTACAGGTTTGAACTTGGGTTCTCAGGTCATGCTCAACAAATAAGAAGTTAAACTTTTAGTGGTCTGAAAATAGTTGTGGAGTTCAGTCAGTTCCTCTTGGAAAGACACAGTGATAGAAAAAGGGGACAAATTAAATGTGAAAAGAAATAAATTATTCTTTGCACCGAGACCATCTTATGAAGTTCAGTCAAGGGCCAGGGCACTTTTCTGGGTACTTGCACAAATACACGAAGTACACAAAATGATGTTCCTTGTCCCAAAATCCACATGGTCTGCTTCCACTCAACATTAGCCTGTTTCCACTCTGAAACTAAAAAGTTTCACCACTGCTGCATGGCCCCTCCCAAAGTCAAATAGCATAGGAGTGGCCTAAAAAATTCAAAGCCCCATGTAGACAGTCTCCTATTGCACACTCGAGATCTCTCCACAGTGAAAATTTCCACTTGGGTCTCAATGACAAAGGAAAACTTGTTTGGTACTTTTCTTCAAGAAATGGAGAAAGCAGACAGTCAAAGGGGCTAAGAACATGGGGTTTCCAGTACAGATGAGGCTAGAAAAGGACCTTGCAAAGAGGACTTCCCAGAATGAACATACTGTATCCAACCTACGTTTCAAGTCTTGGAAAACTTGCTGCTCAGGGCAAAGAGACAAACAGGCCAGTTTCGAGTCAGAACCACAAGCAGAATCTGTAGGTCATGGAATTAAAGTTCTGTCATGGTTTAACTAACAGATGGCAACTAAGCACCACATAGCTGCTCACCCACCCCCACCTGGTAAAGGGATGGGAAGCAGAATCGGAAAAAAACCCAAGTAAAAGTTAAGAACAGTTTAATATTTGACATAAAGTACAATACGAATAGTACTACTAATAGTAATGAAAAGGGAAATAACGAGGATAAAGATATTAAAAAGGGAGAAGGGGGGAACGGAAAGGCAGAAAAAACCCCAAACAGTGATGCACAATACAATTACTCACCACCCACTGACCAATACCCAGCCTGACCTGAGCAGCAATCAGTCCCTTCTGGGTAACTCCCCCCAGTTTATATACTGGGCATGACGTGCTGTGGTATGGAATATCCCTTTGGCTAGTTTGGGTCAGGTGCCCTGTCTCTGCTTCCTCCCAGATTCTCATGCCCCTCCTCACTAGCAGAACATAAGAGACCGAAAAGTCCTTGATCAGGGTAAGTGCTACTTAGGAACAGCTAAAACATGGGTGTGTTATCAGCACTGTTCTCAGACTAAAGCCAAAACACAGCACTGCACCAGCTACTAGGAAGAAAATTAACTTGATCCTAGACAAAACCAGAAAAACTTCAGATCTAATATTGTACTAGAAATGTTTTTAGTAACATTCCCCAATAATTCAGTCCCTAACATGGTAGCTTAGATTCCCTATGAACAGTCTCACAGATCCACAGACTTATGTCAAGGTGGTGGTTACTCTTTCTCATTCTCAGTGAAGAATTCTGCATAACCAGAGCTCGCAGCCATCAACGCTTCAGCCTCCATGGCTTATTAGCTACCTTTGACAATACCAACTGTGTTTTTCTCCTGAAGTATTAAGAGAAATTTTATTCTTGACAAACTTTAGTCCTCCTCTAGTTTTCATGGCTATCTCTTCCTATGGCTAATCCTCTTGAATTGCTCCTTCATTCTGCACTTCTAAGGATCCCCCCCAACCTTTTCTGGCTTTTAGTTTCAGGTTCATGTAGTTCTCAGGTTCCCAAGGACCTCAGTGCTCTTCTTTTCCTTTCTATGTCTGTTCTCTGTGTAATGTCTCCCAAATTTGCTACTTCTGTACTGGTAATTCACAGATCTAACTTTTCTTCCAGTCAAGCTAAAAACACAGCATCTGCCTGTAGACTAGAGAAAGCTCAAGATGATTAAAACAAAGGTCTTATCATTCTTTCACAAAACCTGTTTTCTCACTTGCTGAAGATATTATCACTATCTTGCCTATAAACAGCTGTCATCTTGAACCTTCCTATATCTTTATATCCTTCTGTGTAACATTCCTTCCCATCCAGCTTCCTATCAGAACCGTGACATTTTGCATCTCAACCTCCTTCTTCCAGACCTTGAAAAGTACCCTCCTGTCACACTTACATCTACCCTGAATGCTGCTGGTATGATCATATTTCTAGACCACAGCTTTTTGATACTGCCTCTTTTTTTGCTTTGCATTCTTCCACTGTGAAACCCTTTTCTGTAAATTCAGGCAAGAGCTATATGCCTTCAATCCCAAAGACTTTTGTGACCTGCCCCTTGCTACCTTATGAGAACCCATCTGTTGCTATGAGACTGATCCTGCCTCTGACAGGATCCTGCCTTGGTGGCAGCCTCCACATCTCGCTTCTGTACTCATGTGTGCATGCTGGCGGCTCCTCCCAAGCTGCTGTCATGCTCAGAGGATCTTTCTGCAAACATCTTCAGAGTAACCTCCTCATAATTCTTTTAGAACCCCCAAAAACTATTTTTTGGCCTGCAAAACTTTTTGTACCAATGTCTAAGCTCTCATGTACTGAGGCTCTTGCCTATCATTCTAATCAAGACTGTTTTATTGCCTCCGTCTGCTTCCCCATCTGTCTACTACCCTCTTGTCTCTCATACTTCGACTGCAAACTCTCTAAAGCAAGGTTTGCCATCTTTTGGCTCGTCCTCTTTGTGTAGAACCGACTGCAAACTCTCTAAAGCAAGGTTTGCCATCTTTCAGCTCGTCCTCTTTGTGTAGAACCTTGCATTTGAGGTTCCTGCTCCACCACCTGAACCACTAGGGACTTAAGAGAAACTGTTCTATTTTTGTTATTACAATAACCTCACAGAAGGTAGTTACAACATATTCTTTTTGCCTTACACAGTGCTAGGGTTAACACCCTGATTCCTGCCACACTTAATCATGCAGCAACAGTTTGTACAGCATAGTGGAATAACTTTATCTTTGTTTAATAAAAAGCAGTGCCATTACTATGAAGCAGTGGTGCAAACAACGCCCTGTGTGACACCATGCTGAAAACGCATGAGAAAAGCACCACCTCCCTAGAGCACAAGCTAACTCTGGTTTAAGCATAACCTGCTCCAGTGTTAGCAACATGCTCCTCCATCACAGAAGGTTCAAGTTATACAATATTTAACTATATACCTTTAATTTTTCACCACTGCAATTATCACTAGAGTATCACTTTGTTACTATCATTAGTGAGCACTCTTTTGTTATCACTATTATTGCCACATATTACTCACCATCAGGTTTAAACGGGATTTTATTTTTGTAAAAGCGGAGATTGCACAAATCATTCTGATACCGAAGATCTTTAAAGTTCTGCTGAAAGAAAAGAAATATGACATTATCAGCCTACAAAAACCTACCAAGAGTATCCTATCCAGAAAGCAATATTATGTTCTTTTAATATTCTGAGGACAAAAAAAGTTCAGAGTTTTAGGAACCACAGAGTTTTACTCATGCACTTAAAGACTTAGTTTAAGGGTCCGCAAGTTCCTTCTGGCTGCTACCTTCTGCTGAGGCCAAGGTCTGAGCAGCAAGCAAAGCAGCAACATGACTCAAGTCTCAACAAATCTGAAAGTCCAAAGTCTATAATCTATCCTCTCTGACATTAAAGGCATGAGCCTTTTTATGCGCTCCTACCACTGCTCCCAAGCTTACACATCTCACATGTTTGTACATATGCCTTGGACGAAAAGATGTTGCCCTGGTTTCACTCCTGTCCCATGCTGGGCCTCTGCATCAGCTTTTTGATTCTCATTTTTTATCCCTCATATTCACCAGGCACCAGAAAGTTTTAGGAATGTTTGGGTTGTATGCTGTCTCCTACTAAAAAGGCAGTTTTAAACCATAAAATATTCTTACTGGATACTGGTGTCGGTACTTGTATAAATCTCTTGCTGCGTAGAAGCTTCTCTTCGGTTTGGCTGTCAGCTCAGTTCCATCACCACTCTGAAACAGTTATGAAGTAGGTAATAACCATACACAAACAGATTATATACCAAATTTGTGTAATATTCAAATAATTATTTTTCACGATGGATTTCAGCAATGTAAACCAACACAAGTGCATGTATTTGCTCACTGTTCGGTCAAACACTGAAGCCTCCCTGCTGAATACCTAACACCATGCAATTTAACATAAATTTAAAAATCAAAATCAAATTCAAAAGCAAGGCTATAACATGGCCTTCCAATGAGACTGAATTTGATTTAAATCAACAGGTTGATCATAGTTTCCAAATGCAAGACTTCAAAGTAACCTTGCAAGTACTAGCATAAGGTGAAGTAAATAACTGAACATCAAAATGCAGAGACACTACTCATTTTGATGGGAAATCAAACTATTTGCAAAGACTATCTGCCATGTGTACATTGACTTAATTGCTATCTTTGCATCATGTGGAAGAAAATGAATAGTCATGGACAAGGCATACTGCAGTTGTAACACCTTCTTGAACCATTTTCTATTATTAGTTTTCTCAGAACTTAAATTTAAAACCTAGCGAGAAGAACCATTAAGGCCCAAAATAAAAACGTGCTTAGAGAAAACACACATGTACAAGAACTTGTACTAGCCCCCAGATGTTTGAAAGCTGTGACCTAAAGCAACCAAAGCCCATCAGGGTCAATGAAAATAATCCCACTGAGCTCAAAGAACACTTGAAAAAGCTGCATGCACTGAAGAATATCAGGAAACGAAGCATTACCATGCAGACTTCAACTTGCTACCAACAACTTCATTTTCTTGGCAATTTCTTTATAAGCAAACTGCAACAAAGAGTTTTGTATCCTTCAATCTCGTAAAATAAGCCTCTACAACTAGGACCAAGGGCAAAACTACTACAAAAATTCATTCCACTCCTTTCAATACACGTGACAGGTTAAAGTCAAGCCTAAAAAGGGAAGTACCCTGTGACTTTATTATTGCCATTGCTTATCAATAGCATATTAACAACAGGCATCCGTTTTCATTCTTCCTTTTGGAAGACTAGCTCTGACCATATTACAGGCAAAACACACTTTCCTGACCAAGCAATACCCTTTGACACCCAGTCAGAAGGCATCAGTATCACCAGCTATCAAGCAGAAAAGCGAAAAATGCTGATGCTTATTTAATTTCACACCGTTTCTGAACAGTAAAGGTTATACATCTAACAGGCTAAATGAAAGACCAAACTAGCTCTGCCTGCATTCAATTCTGACTCCAATTAAATTACTGGCAAAGCACCCCTTTATTTCTTTAGAGTCAGCATTCTGAGAGGTTCCTAAAACGCAGAAACTTGCTCTGAAAATCCCTCACCTCGGGCCCACTGAGAAGTCACAAGACCACTGCCACCTACGATCCAACTCTCAGACTTTTAACCCATTTAATTAGAGGCCAAGTTCCAGACTACATCTGATGCAAAGCAGAACCTTCCCTACAAACATCAGTCGCGGGATTAGCAACGACCTCAAGGCCCGTTTTCTCCCAAGAGCAGGTAACCATAAGAGGAGGGAAGACGGGACATGGGCTCATTTCTCCTCCGGATGAGGAGGCAGTTCATCACATGCTGCTCCAGGCCATGGGAAGCATCCCACACCGCCTCAGCTGCCCGGGCTCGCGCCCCGGCCCGCCGGTGCCGCAGAGCTGGGTGGTGGGAGAGAGTGCGGCTGCCCCGGCCCGGCCAGTCCCTGAGGCGAGGCGAGGCGAGGCGAGGCTCTGTGGGACAGCGGCAGCAGCGCCTTGCCCGGCCCGGAGCCGAGGCCAGCACCAAGTGCGGGCCGTACCCACCCCCCTCGCCCTGCCTCAGCCTCCCCGCAGCGGCGGCTCCTCCCGGCGCCGGCGGTACCTGCTCGGGGCTAGCGGCGTCCGCCTCTGCCCGCTCGCCCTCCTCCGGAGCAGGGGACGGTGACAGTGGGGGGTCCTGCGGCCGGCAGTCTGCGGCGGGCAGCTCGGCCGGCTCTTCCCCGCCTCCCGCGGTGGTGCACACCCCCTCCTGCCGCCGCGGCTCCCCGCCGGGCTCCGCCGCCTCGGGCTCCGAGTCGGTCTCCCAGGTGGAGTCGCAGTCCTCCACCGTGGTGGGCTCCTTGAAGCTGACCCCGCTCAGCAGGCTGCCCATCGGGCAGGGCCCGCCGCCGCCGCGCCGCCCGGAGGCCGCGGAGGCCGACGGCTGGTTGCGGCCGCGGGCTGCCTACGGCTGCGGCATGGCGGGGCGGGGCGGTGGTCGGGGCTGCTCCCCCGCCCGCCCCGGCACACGGACACGCGTAGGGCGGAGCTGGAGGCGCCGGGGTTTCCATAGGAGACAGGCACGACCAGTCCCCGCCTGCCCAGCCCCGGCGGCGGGCACCGGCAGAAGCGGGCAGCGCTCGTCTGGCCGTGGGGCTGGGGCGGTCCTGGGGAGAAGAGGGAGGTGGCGGCAGAAACCCCGAGGGGTTTTCTCTTCTCGATGGAGACCTCGGTGATTCCTAAAGGGTTACGAGAAAAGCGAGTGGGTGCGGGTGTTCATGGAGAGGAGCGGGCATGGCGTCTGCCCCTCAGTAGCGGTCTGTGGAGAAGCAGTGACAGAAGCAGTCCTGTCACCAGCAGTGTGCAAGCACGGGCTGCCCACTGGACACGGGACGGGGTGCTGTGGGGTGCACCTCAAAGAATGTACAGGTGCCAGAGGAAACAAGAATGGAGGGGTCAATAGTGTGGTAACCAGCCAGTATCAGTTGCTCATAAAACCCCTGGTCGTTTGGGGATAAAGCTGACATGACTTTCAAGGATGGATTTGGCAGGAGCAGAGTGTTTTGTATTTGGCCAGAGCATGCCAGAAATGCTGTCTGGAGTGAAGACCTGATGAGCTGAAGGCTTAGCATGTCGTTCCAGTGGCTGCTCTCACCCTTCTGATTAAAAATGTGTTCTTCATTTCTGACCAGAGTCATTCAGTTCATACTCATGGCTTCTGCCTTTTCCTTAAAGACAGTTCTGTGATGTCCTCTCCTTGGGAAACAAAACAGGTCACGTTTCTTCAGCCTCTCACTGTAAATTACCTTCCCCATTCTCTCACTCATTTTTGTGCTGCCTTTTTTCTGCTTCAATGTTTCAGCATCCTTTTCAAGTGCAGGTGCCACTATATTAACTGGATATCAGGATCATCAGTGTAGAGGTGATACCATCTATATATTCTTGCTTCCTCTTTCACAGACACCCCGTTATTGTGGGGAAAGAGCCTGCATGCCCTTGTGAGGTTGGGAGCTATGCTGGTGGTGGCATATGCCTCCGGTAGGGTTTCCCATGCCAGACAGGTCTCAACTGAAGGATCAGACAAAGTGTGTCCATGGGTAGGATGGGCTCACTAGCCTCTGGGCAACCATTCTAGGAGAAGAACAACTCTCACTTCAAACCCAGGCAGATGGAGCTCGTTTAGCTCTGTAAGGCCATCCATCTAAGAGAAGGACACTCTAACCAAACCTACAACCTGAGGATTTTGCTGTCACCATGTCGTGGTTTAAACCCAGCCAGACAGCTTGTTCCCTCACTCCCCCCTCTTCTTGCCCTCTCCCTACTCCCCTAGGGATGGAGAGTAGAATCAAAAAGAATGCAACTCCCACGGGTTGAGATAAGAACAGTTTAGTAACTAAGGTATAACACAAATCACTACTGTTACCACCAATAGTAATGATAAAGGAAATAACAAGGGAAGAAAATACAACATCACCAGCCGACCAATAACTTGTCCCCCCCCTACCAACCGAACACCGATCAATGCCTAGTCCAACACTGCAGAGCCCCAGCTCTTCTGGGTAACTCTCAGGTACATCCTGGGCATGACGTGCTGTGGTATGGAATACTTCTTTGGTCAGTTTGGGTCAGGTGTCCTGTCTCTGCTTCCTCCCGGCTTCCCCTCCTGCCTGGCAGAGCACGAGGTTCAGAAAGTCCTTGGCCAAACCAAAACATCATTTTCAGCTCTGTTCCCAGCCCGAAAGTCAAAACACAGCACTGCACCAGCTACCAAGAAAGAGAAAAATGACTGCTACTGCTGAACCCAGGACACACCGTCCAAGCTCGCTAGGCCCTGGCAGATAAACCTCAGGTGTAAAGAGCGGGGCCAGTTCCGTGCATGCTGTGCCTCACCTAAAAAATCCACTGTGGAGGCACGAAGGGTTTACTCACACTTGCAAAGCCCTGTAGCGACAGGCGGGGGACAAAACGGCAGGTGATAAGGGGCACGGGAAGCTGCAGACCCAACCCTGCATGGTCGCTCCATAACACCGTTGTCTCCTTTGAGAACTCACACAGAATTAGTCTCAAGGAGAAAAGACAACATAGAAAGGATTGCGCCCCGCCCAAGGAGACCTTTCACTGTGCTTTCTGCAACCGGATTTGCCTATCCCACATTGGCCTGGTCATCAGCGCGCTTGTAGTAAGCGTGGGTAAAGCCCTTCCCAAATAGTCATTCATGAAGTCAAGCCATGATGATGATTCTTGCTTCCCAATCCACCCTTTACGAACTTAAAGATCATTTTAACTCAAGTTGCCACAGCGACATACCTAGATGCATTAATACCACTCTCATGGGTAGCCCTCCTTCAGGTCCATTTGCAGTGTATAAGCTACATTCACTGACACCGAGGACAGGAAATTACCAGGAATGCTCTGGTGGTCAGGCCTCGGTTCAGGCAAGTTAGTTTCCAGTTGTAGCTCACCTAGATGCAGCCATGGCTGCATGGCTGAGCTACAGCTCAGTCTACCTGAGGTGCCCGTGTCTCTGCCTGCCCCCACCATCATCTGCCTTGTCTGAGACTATTCTGCTCCTCATCAGCTCTCCATAGAGGTTAACAAAGCCCGTTCATCCTTTCCAAGGCCCCTTAGTCAGCATCATGCCAGCTATGACACTTCTCAGGACCCAGCTACTTCCATTCAGGCCAAGATCAGACCTGGTGGTCGCAGCCAAGACCTCACCCCGACATTCACCCTATCCCCCTCCTTCTCTATTTTTGCCAGTAGAGGAGGTGGCCCCCTTTCCACAGTAATGGCTGGGACAACAGGATGATCATACACAAGTCAGATAATCTCACCCACTCTTCCAGTACTGGAAATTGTCATTTAGGGATACTTACGGAAGAAACAGGACATGTACTTAACAGCCTTTATTTTGACACGTCTTCCCAGCTTATGAAAAACCAAAGCTTTAGAAACAGCCAGTGCAAAAGGTTGCATATGAGTCTTCATTTTATAGCCATTAATGGACCTATTCCCACACTATTTACATATATTTTTGGCCTCTGTTACACCGTGAAATGATGTTACATAGTTTAAATACATGTTATTTCCATATATTTTAGGATTTTAAAAAATGTTACCATTTCATTTGGTACTAGTTAGTCCTTTTTACTTATTTTTTTAATGAGAAATAGAATGTGATTGTTCCTTATTTGCCTTCATGCTACCTGGGATTTATAGACCTCTGTTAATTCCATACCTATTGTTTTTCTTCCAAGATGCAAGAGCCTACCCTATTGAGTCTTACCAAGCATGAAGTCATTGCATTCCTCTCATTGCATTCCTGAGACCTTTCATTGGATTCATTGCATTCCTGTGACCTTTCCCTGTAGGCTTTTGAGGTCTATTGGAACATTTTGGAAGTGTGATACCCAGGAATTAAAGTGGTATACAGGAAGGGTCAGCATCATTCTTGCCAGTGGACAGTGCTTTAATATAGAATAAAAAAGAAAAACCATCAAGGCGGCACAAAAAGGTGATAGAGGGCAAGCAGTAAGGCTGGGTACCAGAGCTGCAGTTGGAGGAACAGTCTTTTATAAAACTCATGCTTAGGTCTCATGTATTTGGAGAGCTCCCTTTTTTTTGGCCTTATTTGGAGCAAAGGCAGATTTGCTTCCTCTTTCTGCAGTATCTCCTCCCACACTGTTGGCATAGCTTGAAGGAACTGACTTAAGAAATTCTGATGTCCGGAACCTGTTTGTCACGACTGCCAGCTGAGTAGCTACTTTAATTGACCAACATCAACCGGTCCCAGTATAGACCAGCTCTGCCTCCCCTCCCCTGCTACAGCCTTTGTCAGTACTCCCACACATTATGTTTATACTTGGGACACAAAAGCATGCCTTGTGCATGCATCAAAAATCAGGTGAAGATTCTGATGATACTTAGTTTGCATGCCAATTAATCCCACAAACTAAAGAGCTTTCTACAAGAAAGCTCTGACTCTTGTGCAAATAACTGTACCTTATTATAGAAAGATCAGTTCTACCTGAAGAGCAAAGCTGTCAGCCAAATCTCATCATAGAGCTTTAGGAGGATTTTTAAAGGATCTAGATCTCAGACCACTCATGAGAACTGGGCTTCAAGTTAATTAGCTTGGCATTGCTGTGGGAAGCCAGTGCCAAGAGCAGAAGACTCCTCTGACTTTCTTAGAGTAGTCCATGCTGCTGAGGTAATGTGATGGAGTTTCCTGAAGTACTGGCATGTATTTTCGGATTTCATAAAGGTCGACAACCAGGTATACCACATTGCTTGCAATCTATGCAAGAAGTGAGAGAAGTGAGGCCTAATTGCCTAGAGGTTGATTACCAGGGGCCAGGGTGGTGCAGGTTTTCCTTGCCAACCAGATACCTTGTAAGGTGTTACTCACGGCTATAAAGGAGTTGATTATAAGTAGGTAGGCTGGAAGAAGTCTCAAATTAGAAACTGAATGGACTGAATGTTGGTGTGGCACTTTAAAAAAAGAAGAAAAAAAAAAAGGCAGTGTCACCAATGATGCAAGCCTTCAAAACGTTTCAATTACCCATAGAAATACTTTCCGTTTTAGCTGGAATCAGCTCTCATGCAATTCTTTTTCATCCTTTAGCTTATCATTGGTTTCTAAGTGAGTTTTCTCCAGAAAGGATGATTAAACAGCTCTTACATAGATCAGCATCCAGCAAAAATCGCTAGTTAGAGAGCTATGGGGTACCCACTTTGTGCCTATTGAGACCTGGCTGCACTGTTGTGCAGCTGAATGAGGTATGAAGAGTTCCTCCCCTGAAAGAGTCATCTGCTATTTTTGTCATCAGTTACTCACAGCCGTCTCTCAGCTGCCCAGAAGGGCATGGCTTGGACCTTCTGAGGTAAGAATACTCTAAATTTGGATGTGGTGGGGCAGATCTGCACTTTGCCATGTTTGTGCATTTTCCCCATGAACAATGTCTTCTTTCACAGTTGCAGCTTACTGCTGGTTCTGGTTGTGAATTAGAGGCAGTCAGGATTCATGAAGGGGCTCTGGCACCTTACATAGCTTCTTAGGGTGGTATTTGAAAGGTTGAACAGATCCCCACATGACATATCTTAAAACCCAACCCAACCCAAAATATCTGTCAATTATCTGTCAATAAATATACATTTATATAGATTTTAAACAGCATGGATAAGTATAAAAATGCCTTTTTTTTCTTTCATAAGGACATGGTTTTGTAAGGACTTCAGAATTGAAACCACATCGCTTTGTGGAAGCTAATGCTGCATGTAGATCAGTGTGATAACCATGAGATTTTAATAAAAATTAAATACAAGGTAAGTGTAATCCTTCATCATTATCTTGGGAGGATGTTTTGAATAGGATACTAGTGAGGTCAATTAACAACTGTGGAGAGTCTTACCAACCTTATATTAAGGTGATAAAAAGCTGGGAGGGATTATGCCTCCTCAGAGGATACAAGTAGACTACAAAATCACTTTGATAAATGGCAGAAGAGGGCAAAATAAATAACGTTGGTAAAATTTAATTTAGTCGAGATACTGCAGAACGATTTGTAGTGGATACTTAAACAAACAAAGGTAGATTTTAGAAATGCAGAAAGGCAGCAATACAACATAAATACCTGGGAGTTACAGTATTATTTACGTATGTTCAGACAAGGGTCCAAATATGTGTGTACACCAACATATATCTGGGCAAGTGCCAAAGTCACACAGATAGGACAATTATTTTTGTATGCAATAGCTGTAGCTGACTGGTATTTTAATGGAGTTTGTTGGTTTATTTTTGAAAGGACATGAGCATTCTCAATTAATATCTGACTATGCTGAATTTAAGTCTCGTCTTTAGTTCCGTAATGTCACAGGATTGCTAAATGCCAAGCCTGATGTAGTATCTATAGAAGGTAAATCTAATTTATAAAGTTCTTCATAA